AAAAATCAGATATAATAAATAAATTAATAATTATAGATTAATTTATAATATATATATTCTTTTTATATAAATAATATATAAAGTATAATATATATTTAATTATAATATAAATATAATAATATTTTTTAGATATAATCTACTGCTTGATCTGCTTAATTAATTATCTTAAAAAATATATTATATTTTAAAAAAGATTTTTATAAAATTTAGTATAAAAAAAATAAAAAAAGATATAAAATATTTATTTTTTATACTATCTAGAATAATAATTATAATAATATAGAAATTATAAAAATCAGATCTTTATCTTTATCTAAATATATATAATAATTAAAGATTTAGATAAGACTAGATTTTTTAATTTTAATAATAATTTATTCTCTAAATTATCTTTAAGATTATTTATATTCTTATTCTTATTAATATAGAAAATAGTAATTATCTTATTTTTTTTATTTTTTAAATATAAAGATAATTAAATCTAAATTAAGATTATTAAATATATTCTAATATTTCTTATTTATAATAAAATAATTAATATATATTTAAAATATAATTACTTTAATTATATCAGAATTAAGATAGCTCTGATAATAATAATAGATATTTTAAAAATTATTAAAAAAATATTTAATATTAATATTATTAATTATAATTAAGAGAAAATCTCTAGCTATCTAATAGAAAATAAAAAATTAATTATAATAAAATTTCTAATAAATAAGAATATTAGTATATTCTATAGTATCTAGAATTATATTAATTTAATTAAAAATATCTTAAGAAGCTATATATCTTTAATATTTAGATATATTTTAAGTTTTTTATATATCTTAATTATAAATAAAAGTTTTTAATATTTAGAAATATTATAAAAAATCTTATTTAGATCTAATAATAATCTAAAGATTATTAATAATATATTAATTATTAGATTTTAATTAAAATAAAAAAAGAATATTTTCTTAAAAATAATTTAATATTTATAATATTAGTTAATATTATTATTTAGTTATATATTTTTTTTAAATTTTTTAAGTTTTAATATCAGATTTAGAATAGTTATAATTATATAAATATAATTTTCTATTTAATAAATATAATAATAATATTTTTAAAGCTTTTAATATATATTATATAAGTTTTTAAAAATCTTTTTTTTTTAGAATATCTGTTTTCTTTCCAGTTTATTATTTAAGTAATTTAGATAATTAAAAAAATTATTATAGATATTATAAATTTTATAAATAATAGATTTATTATTTTTAAAAAAATAAAAAATAAAAAAAAAAAAAATATAAAAACTTAAAAAAATATTTTATCTATTTTTATTTAATTATAATAAAATAAAAATAATTAGTATTATTATATTTATAATATTAAATAAAATTTTTAATTACTTAATAAAAATTAAATATTTAATAAATTATAAAATAAATTAAGTTTTAGTAAATTTTATAATTAAGAAAAAGATCATAAATTAAGCTAGATTTAAGTTATTAAATAAATAAAAACTTTTTATAATATTAAAAGCTTATATTTATAAATTATATAATCTTTTAAATTTATAATTAAAAATTAATATAATAAACTAGCTAATAAAAGACTTTTAAAAATTTTTTATAAAAAAAAATTTTATATTAGTTTTTTATAGATAGCTTTTAGAATATATTTTCTTAAGAATTTTTAAAATATTAAAAAAGACTTTAAAACTTCTATTATTATTTTTTTATATATATTTAATAATATTATTTAAAATCTTAATCCGAAGTTTCCGCAGAAGAGTATTAATTATAAGCTAAATTATATAAATAAAATAAAAAATATAATACTAGTTTTAAATAATCTTTAAAAAATTAAAATTAACTAGAATATTATAAAGCTAAGTACTCTGACTAAGTTAAGTTTAAAATTTAATTAAAATTATATTAAATATTATATTATTATTATTAATATTATTAATTAATTTATTTAATAATTAATAGATAAAATTATATTTATATAAGACTAATAAAAAAATTATAGCTAGATTCTTATTAATATAAAATTTAGATATTAATTAAAAATCTAGTAAAATCTTATAATAGTCTATATCTTTTATTAAGAAATATTTAATTAAATTAAGAAATACTTTCTAATCAGAACTAATCTAGTAGTTTATTATAATTAATATTTATTTAATATTTAGAAATTTTAATAATAATTATATATATATCTCTTTAGATAGTTCTATAAAATATTCTTTAATTTATATTTAATTAAAAAAACTTAGTTTTTAGTAGAAAAATAAAATAGTAAGATTAATTATTTATTTAAATTAAATATATTTAATAATTTAAAATAATAGATAATAGATAATTATAAAATATAAAACTTAATTTTAAAGATTCTGTTTATTATAGATTATAAAGATCTAGAAAAAAATAATAATTAAAAAAAATTTATTTTAAAAAAATAAATAAATATTTATAATAATTTTTTATTTAATATCTAATTAATTATTTACTTAGATATAACTAATAATAATTTCTTTTTATAATTTTTATAAAGATAATAGCTTATAGAACTAGTTTCTAAGTTTTTAATTTTTAAATATTATAAAATATAAAAATATATAATATAATAAATATAAAAAGTTTTATTAAAAAATAATATATCTTTCTAAAAGCTGTTTTATATTATTAATAATTTTTTCTGATTAAAGTAAAATAGTAATTTTTTAATTTATATATAATCTTTAAAAAAGATTATTTTTTATTATTAATTCTAAAAAATAAAAAGCTTTTTTTAAAAAATTAAATATAAGATAATTTTCTGATTTTTATAATATATATAATCTTAAGATTTAGAGAAGAAGAAAAAATCTGACTTAAAAAGCTTATTTTAGTTTAAATATTATTATAATTTATAAAACTCTAAAAAATAAAAGAAAAAAACTTAATAATATTTTTTAAAAATAAATTAAATAATTATAATTAATTTATAATTCTGAAGCTATTCTGTAAATAATAAATATAAAAAAATAAAAATAAAAAACTCTGTAAAAATAGTTTATTTTATTTTAAAATATAATTTTATATAAATATAATCTATTATATTTTAATATATAGCTAAGATATCTGCTATATTTTATTTATTTTAATAAATTTAATAAATAGAAATTTATATCTAAAGTCTAGAGTTATAAAATAGTTTCTTTTTTTAAATAAAATTATTTAAGATATAATAGATTAGAATAGAAAGTAGATATTTATAAAAAAAATTTATAAAAAACTTTTATAAAATTTTTTATAAGAATTATAATATTATAATATAAATCTAATATACTTTATTTATCTATTTTATTTATTTAATTTATTTAATTTATTTAATTTATTTAATTTATTTAATTTATTTAATCTATTTAATCTATTTTATTTTAATAATTTAATTATTTATAATCTTCTTAACTATCTATTAGTTTCTAATTTTATTAATAGCTCTTTAAGTTATATTTTATTTATAAATCTAAGAATAGTCTAATCTAAAAAAAATAATAGAATAAAAATAGTATATTTATTTTTAATATTTTAATTAATAATTAATATATAATTTTTTAATATTTTATAATATAATTAAGATATATAATTAAAATAAAGTAATAATTATATATTTTTATATATATTTTTTATTATAAGAATAATAATTTTATAAAAAGCTGAATTTTATTAATATAACTAGAATTTTTTTATTATTTCTGATAAATAATAATAAAAAAGATATTAATTTCTTTTTTAATTATATTTTTTTAATTTAAAAAGCTTTTTTTTATATATTTTTAGATAATAATAAAAATAGCCAGATTAATAATTATTTAATTTAAGTATATCTTAATTATACTAGAGCTTAAAAAAATATAGTAAATAGATCTTAATATTAAGAATAATTAAAATAATTAATTATCTGATTTTTAGCTATATTATAATTAGATATAAAAATTTTTTTAATCTGATTATAATCTGGCGGTTAGATATAAAAATTCTAATTAATCTGATCTGATCTGACTGTTAGCCACTCTATATTAATATATATTTTATTTATAAAAATATATTTAATAATAGATATTTTAAATCTTAATTAAAATAAAAATTTTCTTTACTTTTAAGACAGTACTTTAAATATTTTTTAATATAATTTATTATTATTTTAAATTTCTTTTCAGATCTCTGTATTTATATATAATATTTATTATTATTTATATATAATCTCTGTTAAGATAGATAGAAGAATAATTATATTTATTAATTTATTTAATTAAAAAAGTAATTAAATTATACAGCTTTAAAAATAATTATTTTTATTTATAAATATATTTTATTTATATTATAATAAAATATTTATTTATTTATACTTGCTTTTATTTTTATAAATTAGCTTAAAATAAAACTGGCTTAAAAATAGAGATTATTATGTATAATATTTAATTAGTTTTCTCAAAGAAAAGAAATATTTTAGATTTTTATAATTAATTATTATTTAAAAGTTTTATATTATTTATAATTCAGTATTTTATTATTTAAGATTTTATATAATAATAAAAAGCTTTTTATTATAGATTAGATAGTTATATTCTATTAATATATTTTATTTTAAAAATATATATATAAAATTATAATGTAGTAAAGGCAGTCAAAATGGGTCAGATAAGGGGGTGTAAAAGACTAAAAGTATAATCATTGATTTATCATTCACTGAATGATTGTACAGAGTACAGAGTACAGGGTACAGGGTACCTACTTTGGCACTGATTCAGTTGTTTGCCTGACCAGACATCATTATTCACATCCAAGCCTATGTGATAAGGTAGCTATCTCCAAAGTCATCATCTGCATATTGAGTGAAAACCCGCCACCGCCTGCCACCAAGGGAGTCACGGGTAAACATCACCCGGTCTCTCTGACATTTAGGGGGTGCCAGTGTTCTGATCTCTTCAATGATGGGAACAACCATATCCAGACTCCATGTTCATATCTCCGCGAACATATTCCGCATCGCAGACACCGGATCAGGGATTGAGATTAGCCGGTAGTGAGAAGCAGTTCAAGTTCTATAATCTTGATGGGTGGCGCGCAGACTCTACGCTTCCCAGCCAAGCTTCTAAAATGCTACTGATTCACCAGGCTGGCAGTGTCCGTGTAGGTGAGGTAGTCAGGTCTGTTTGCCCTCTTTGACTCTTGCCTTGAAACCAATTATGTGGTTCGGCCTGAAACCCCTTGGTACTGATGCCCCCACTCAAATAGATACACATTAACATACACACCTTCGGCGGACAATATACTCCCGACCCCGGCCAGGTTACATGTGAAAATCAAGAACACCTCTGCACTTCCCTTGCGAGCTGCATATCTTCATGGTCCATATACCTTGTATGCGTCGTGCTATCCGTCTACGTTCAACCCGAACATTGGCGTTGTTCAACAAGCACCCGAGACGATTCCACAGTATGAACCGTACCTCAAAGCAGGAGGTACGTGGAACGCAACCATGACTGTTCCTCGGAATCCTCAACATGGCCAGCGGACATCACACGCGGATGAAGCCGAAACCAGTGGATGTATGACGTGGATTATTGAGGTAATATCACAGGTGGTGTTCTCCAGCACTGCCACAGTCAACTTTGAGCTCCTGGTTGGTCGTGATGAAAACTCGGTAGAATCGCTATCTGCCGGTGGATCATACACCGCTGGATTGCCTAAGCCTGCTCAGATAAGTGATCACTGGTCGTCCGAGACAAGAGGCAAGCAAGTGATTGCTACCAAAGGCGTCTACTCACGATCGATCACTTTACTAGTAGACGATACTGCTAGCCTTTGGGGTACATCCTGTCTTCCACTGTCTGAACTTAATGAAGGGGAAACGGGTAACTTGCCTAAACAGCAACCACTAGCAAATGAAACAGGGATTCCAGCAGGGCATTGTGACTGTACACATGAGTCGCAGAACAAAAAGTCTTCAAAGAAAGTCCATCTTGTTGTATTGACCCATGGACTACACAGCAACTTGGGTGCAGACATGCTTTATTTAAAGGAAAGCATCGAGGCCGCAGCCAAGGTAGCGAGGAATAGATCGAGAAATGACAGCAGCGGACGTGGCTCGCACAAACCACGCTCAGAGCAGTCTTCTGCCCCATACTGGTGAGTAGAGTATTTTCTTTATATTGACCTTGCAGTGCCTTCCATGCAGTAACCAATTGAAACAATTTTCCGTCGCCTTTGCCTTGAGGACCCCTTCCTCCCCGTTTCCCCTCCTTTTGTTTCGTGTTAAATTATGACCACTGCCCTAAGTTTTATCGTTCTTTGCATTTATCTCGAAACTTTCAGAATGTTCTCCTCGGTTTCATCGTAACGATAACTGACATAATGCCAGGAGTCACTCGGAAGACCACGATGATGAGCAGGTCATAGTAAGGGGCTTTTCTGGAAACGCAACCCGTACGGAACGTGGAATTCAATACCTTGGCAAGCGTCTCGCAAAGTATGTTTTGCTCATGGTGTGTCCTGATCAGACAACCATATCCCGTAATGATACAGGGGATAATCACAGGCCGTTTTCATCATATAAATTTGCAACGAGGGATTCTACCAAATCTTATCGGTCGTGCGATATCGCAGGACCACCAATCATTACGGGAGGTGCTCACCAGGTTACCAGTATCAGTTTCATTGGGCATTCGCTTGGAGGCCTTGTCCAAACTTACGCCATCGCATATATTCAAAAGCACTTCCCCCATTTCTTTGACAAAGTCAGGCCTGTGAATTTTATAGCCCTAGCGACCCCATTCCTTGGGCTCAGCAACGAGAATCCTGTCTATGTTCGATTTGCCTTGGACCTTGGACTTGTCGGTCGGACAGGCCAGGATTTGGGTCTCAGTTGGACAGCACCCAGAGTTAGGAGTGGCTGGGAAACCATTATAGGGGGCAAAGGAAACTCTCTGAATACGGACGGACAGTCGGATGCTCGCTCTAAACCCTTGCTAAGGGTCTTACCTTGTGGACCTGCTCATGAGGCTCTATCAAAGTTTGAGCATCGCACAATTTACTCTAATGTGGTCAACGACGGCATAGTCCCTCTGCGAACATCTTGCTTGCTATTCCTTGACTGGAAAGGCCTCGACCGAGTTGAAAAGGCTAGGAGAGGTAATGGCATTGTCGGCACCATGGCTGAATGGGGTTGGGCAGAACTAACAGGGGCTAACTCAAAGTCTCCGAGCGCTCAACCATCCACGGAGCTCGAATTGATAGGAGCCGGTGATCCAGATAGCAAGGCGAACGGAGCCTGGCCAATGGTAAATGCACCTCCACAGCAAGATTCTACAGCCTTGTCTGAAATCTCAACTGGTTCTCAATCTCCCGATCTACGTCAGTATCTTGGTGGTTCCGGCTCCGGTCTTGATCCTAAACGGGAAGAAGTCTTCCCTCCACCTGTGCCGATTAGCCCTCTATCCAGAATTTTCTCAATCTTGCGGCCGAAGGAGGCATCAAAGACATACCCCGGAAATAAACAGACCAAAATTTACAAACGCAGCCAGACTCTTGATACACTGGGCGATCTCATAGATAGTCACTACCATGGCGATGGACTTCATGCCCCACCACAAACTACATTCTTCGAATCCGCTAGTGACCTTCTCATGCCGCCGCTCCCTCCCTTAGAATTCATTGTTGATCCTACATCTAGATCGAGGACCATCTTCCACGACCGCATTTATCATCCTGACGATATCCCACCCTCGATTCCTCCTAAACGACGAACCTTGACAATTGGCTCTCTGCAAAATAAAGCCTCGAATGCGCGCCCTGTATCGACAGAAGGTTCCCATGGAACATCACACCCTGCTAACGAACCCGAGAGTGGCCTAAAACTAGAAGAGAAAATTGCCAGGGCATACCACCGTAATTTGTCATGGCGGAAAGTCCTTGTTCGCCTTGAACCCGATGCTCACAATAACATCATTGTACGGCGGATGTTCACAAATGCATATGGTTGGCCCGTCGTGCAACACCTTGTCAATACCCATTTTGGAGACACGCCAGGAGCCTAGCCCAGACATGTGGCTGGGTAAGGCATTGAAACCCCATTGATGGTGGAAATCAGTAAATCAATCTTTACATAACCAGGCCGGGCGCATATAAGCCCCAGATGGAAGACATGCGATTTCTGCAAATGCCCCTGGAACTGAAAGATACCATGGCTGCAACAACCGATAATCATTTGGAGTCTGGAAGCTGTGTCCTCGACTTCATTCTTGGACGCCGAGTGGCTTGCATGTATCATCAGCCCCGTTCACTCATAACTTTTTTTGGTCCGTCAAGGAAGATGCATATAGACATTGCACTTATGTCAACATGTACATATGTTAATAAGAACCAATCGCCTAGCCTTGTACATATGAAGTATATGAAAATCAGTTGTGATTTTCTCTTAAAGTTAACATATGTTACATTGGCATATTCATACAGGAAACCTTCCAGTAACAACATCCTAATTCACAGCCCTTGATGAGCTTTTCTGCCTTGGCATCAGGCTCACTGGTTATTGCCGGATGGCTTGCTAGTTCCTTACTAATATGTAAGTCAGTTGAGTTTCCATGTTCTTACGTCAATGAGAGTATATTTAGGCTCGTGTTCGACCGACACACCCCGTTAATCACCAGACACACCTGGCCAATGTAGCTCAGCTTTTTTATCGATCTAACTATTTTATCATAGTTTGCATAACTGTGCTACAGTTTTAACAATCTATCGAGTGTCGTAAAACACACAGGGAGGTTAAGTTGGCTGTGCGTAGGCAGGGAGAGCTTCGATTAAAATCAACACCCTAAATTAGTTTCTAGATGTTCCTATGTCGTGCTAATAGGGGTACAGAGTACTAGCAGCCTTGTAGGCGACTTAGGTACAGAGTAGATACTCCGTATGATATCTGAATTATCTTACTTATTGTACTACGGTACTATGCATCTAACCAACCCCTACACGGCTTACCGCTCCGAGATTGTCTATAGGGCGATCCTGATATCTTAACACAGTTAATATATTAATATAATTAGACAAGAAATATATTTCTTTAAATAGTTATTAATTCTTTAAATTTTAATAAAATTAGATATTTTTTATATAAAAATAAAGCTTGAGAGCTATTCTAACTTTTTAAATATTTAGATTTATTATATAATTAATTCTTAATTTAATATATATTAATATAATTTAATTATAATTTTTCTTATTTTATATATAAGTAAGTTTTTTTTAATAATATTATATTTCTTTTTAATTTAATTAATTTAAATAAGATTATTACTGCTAATAACTCTGTTTATTTATAAATAATATTTAAAAAAAATTAATTAAATTAAATAAAAACTATAGCTATAGATTAATTTAAATTTTATTTTAAAATAATAATAAAATATATTTAAATTATATATTTTTTAATTAATATATTTAAATAATATTTATAATTTAAGCTAAATTCTTTTAAATAAGAAAGATAATTAGTAACAGCTTTTAATTATTTTAAAATTATTAGAATATTATTAAAGAAGAAATAATTATAATTATTAATATTATTAAATAAAATAAAAAATTATTTCTCTATTATTTTTTAAATAATCATCTTAAAATTATAAAGAATTAATTTTATTAAATAAAATCTATATTATATAATTTAATATTTAAATATTTTAATTTAAATAAAAATAAATACTACTAGAAAGGTTTTTTAATAAAAATTTTATAATTAATCTAAATAATTATAATAATTACTTTATTATATAAATATTTATAAATATAAAAAATTTTAATATCTAAAGATTATAAAATATAGCTTAAATAAAAAAATAAAATAAAAAAATAATTTTATTTTTTTTATAATATTTTATAAATTTACATATTATATAAAACCTGTAGCAATTATAGATTAAAAATTAATATTTTTTTAATTAATTATTTTATAATAAGATTAGAATATTAAATTTATGACAAAATTATCTTATTTATTATATAATTTAATTTAATAACTTTAATATATAAACTAGTTGTAATATAATTAAACTAATTTTTTAAGATATATTTTTCTAATATTAAAATAAATAAAAATAAGAATTTTTTAATTATATTAATTATCTTTATAATAATTATATATTCTCTGTTTATATTATTTTTAATATAAGAATATTATTTAAAATCTTAAATAATAATTTATTAATTCTTTTTAATATCTATTTAAAAGTCTATTTTATTAGAATTTTATATATTATTTAAAATAATTTTATACTTCAGTATAATCTTTTTATATTATTAAAATTAATTTTTAAATATCTCTAAATTATAAATCTGCTTTTTTATAATATTTATAATTAAGAATATTTTTTTATATTTAAAATATATTTTAAGCTATTTAGAGAATTATCTCTTATTAATTATAAAAATTAAAATAATTAAATCTATATAAATCTTTTTAAATATATTATTTATAATTAAAATAATTATTTTTAATTAAATTAAAATAATTATTTTTAATTAAATTAAAATAATTATTTTTAATTAAATTAAAATAAATTCTTTATTAAAAAATTAAATATAATATAATAAAGCAAGATTCTGAGCTTTATTTAATTTTTAATAAAAATATTTTTAATTATTATAAGAAATTCTATTTATTAATCTAATATAGAATCTGAATATTAATATCTTATATTTTTATATAAATTATATAATATTAGATTTCTGAATATATTTTAATATATAGATAATTTACTAAATTTAATTCTTAATTTTATAATAATCTATAAATATTATAATAATTTTAAAAAATATAACTTAATAAAATAATTAATTTTTTTAAAAAGATAATATTAATATATTAATTTTATTAAAATATTAGAATTCTTCTACAGACAATCTTGGAGCAGTAAGCCGCGTAGGGGTTGGACTGTTGGTTACCAATAAATAGGCGGTGCTAGAAATCCGGACGAATTTGAGAACCCCACCAACCAAGAAGAAGTGGGGCGGAGGAGGGGTGGGAGGGGGGTAGAGAATGAGGTTGTAGGTCAGTCAGTGTAAGGTTTTGCAAGTCTGCCTTTTCCTTCTCATTACCACCAAACCAATTCACAAGATGTCTACTGAATTGGAAGAAGTATGTTCTACGGCCCTATACGGCTGGTCCCCGATCAAATAGTTGGATTTCTCGTTTGGAGACTGATATTTTATCTGCCGTCGTTGACCAGCTGGTCGAATTTCTCCACCATGGAAATACTCAAATCAGACAAATTGGTAAGTTGTCAAGTTACACTGCGCTCTTGCTTTCGGGTTCGAACTTTTCTCGCAGACATACATTAGTGCACTTCTAAAAGTCGCATTTTCTAGCATGCGAAAATCTCGTTGGTTTTTCAGTTGCCCAACCCAATATGTTTAAGCGCCACCAACTCTTGCCAGTCCGCGACCTGAAACTCTTGGTGCGAGATTATACAGTCAGTTTTCGGATCCTTAGACCGTGTTGTTAAGTTGTTTAGAGTGGTTGCTGATCCTCTTTCGGTCAACCTTCCAAAAAGCCCATCGCTAAAAATGCCATAACAATGCTTGTCAACCTCTCGGCCGACGAAGAGGTGCTGGCTAATCTTGCAGAGGATGATGCTTTCCTCGAGACCCTTCTAGTGAAATTGACTGTGAGTGCGTTGGGCCAATATCTTCGGCCGTCGCGCGTTTGCGCTAACATGAGGTCGGTAGAATGTCAAAGAGCCAAATGCGGATGATGTGTCGATGCTGTTTGCCAATCTCGCAAAATCCGACAAGATGAAGAAACTGCTCACATTAAAGCGGAAGACACCCGAGGCAGTGTCAAACTCCGCCAATGCAATTGACCAGTTGATGGACTGTTTCGTGAAAGGAGCTGAAGGTGTCCTTAACAAAAACGCAAATTTCGATTATTTGTCTTATTTATTTGCCGACCTCTCAAAGTCCGAGGAGGGGCGGTCTTATTTCACTTCAAGGCAGGACTATGACGATGTCTTACCGGTTACGAAACTCACTGTGTTTACTGAGCACGGAAGCGCCATCCGAAGAAAAGGAGTCGCATCAACGATCAAAAATGTGGCATTCGACATTCCATTTCATCCCAAGCTCTTGTCTGAGGAGGAGGCCAACATTCTCCCTTATATACTGTTACCTATCATGGGACCTGAGGAGTTTGCCGAGGAGGATTCTATGACAATGCTACCGGATCTCCAGCTGCTGCCGCCCGACAAACAAAGAGATAGCGATACTAGTATCATTGTAACGCACCTGGAAACCCTGTTGCTGTTGACGACAACACGTGAAGGGCGGGATAAATTGAGGGATGTTAAATTATACCCTATAGTCCGAGAGTGTCACCTTCACGTGGAAGATGAAGAAGTTCGTGAGTCTTGCGATAGACTAGTTCAGGTTTTGATGCGGGATGAGGAGGGCGAAGATATACCTGGACAGGCTACCGATACAAGAGAGGACAACGACAGTGCAGCTTTGCAGGACGAGGATCAAAATATCGAGGAACTATTTTAAACCATTATATCTCCAAGCAGAGTATTGAAAATAATTGAGACTCGGTACCATTAGAAGGAGCACTTGGCCTTTCTGTAGGAGTAGCATTGTCATTTTCCCAAGATAACATCCTTCTTGGAGCTTCTTTCTTTGATTTATGTTCGACTTAAGACGCCCAGGGAAGTTCCTAGTTGGATACTTAGACAGTCTACTCTCCATCTAGATTCTATGAAGTTAGGAGTATCAGCAGGCCCTGTCCCGGGTGTAATCATGAACAGTGAGATACAGGCCTTGGTAATAATAACAAACGTTTACAAAGTACTTAGATAATAGCTGACTGTATAATGATGCTGTGGCTTAGCCCCAGCAGCTAGGCCTAGTTAGTAACAGCTGTAGGGTCCATTGGCAGGAAATCGGGTGTCTATTAATATTATACCTTACGATATGGACATGGCTGGAGTAATACGAAAGTAGGAAAGTTACCTACTGATAGAAAAGAATATATAGCAGTATTAGGGCTTACAGCTCGGTGTCATCTGAAAAAAGGTCAGCATAATCCAAGTACTAAGTATAAAATAATTCTTTTTTATCTTAATTATAATCAGCTCTGTTAAGAATAAGTTTGAATTATAATAAATATATTTCTTTTTTTCTAAATTATAATAAGATTTAAATTTTATTATCTTATATTATTATTATTTTGAATTTCATAATTAAATTCTATAATTTTATATATATCAAGTATATATTATAATCTATAATATAATTGATAAAAAAACAGAAGATAAGATTATTTATTAATTAAATCATATAAAAATAAAATATATATTTTATATTTATTATATATATATTTATTAGATATATATATTCATTACATATATATATTTATTATATTAATAAATATAAACTGTTTATAAAAATAATATTAATAGTACTAGTAATATTTTTAATCTTATAAAATAAAAATAAGAATAAAAACAAGAATAAAAACAAGAATAAAAACAAGAATAAAAACAAGAATAAAAACAAGAATAAAAACAAGAATAAAAACAAGAATAAATAAAAGAATAAAAACAAGAATAAAAACAAGAATAAAAAAAAGAATAAAGATAAGAATAAAAATAAGAATCTAAATCTTAAAATAGCTTTAACCTATTAAATTTTATTTAAATTTTAATAAATCTAATTAAAATAGATATATATTATCATATTACAATCCCAGGAAGGCTCTGCAAAGCCTTCCACAGAATTTTCTAGTAAAATCTCAGAATATTACCAGGACTGATTATCAAGTATATAATCTTTTATTAAAATATAATATATCTATCTCTAAAATCTTATTTATAATCTTGAGTTATATTTTATCTATTATTTTATATTTAGTCTGATTACTAGCTAGTTATCTGAATATTCTATTAATGATTAATTAATTATTATCTGTTTAAACTTAGGCTTGTCAAAATACCGAGCCCGAGCGGGTTGGGAAGGATCAACAAGCCAGCTCGGCCGAGCCCAGAACTTGTCAGAGCCTGATCAGGCTTGCAGATAAAAACTTAAATAAATTTAATATAGCTTAATTATTTAAAATTATTAAATTTAATTTATTTTCTTAAATAACTTTTATAATATATCTATCTCTATTAAATATATATATATAATAAAAATATAAATAAAATTATAAATTTGAGAGATTTTTAATTTTTTTAATTTATAAATATATAAAGATATAATTTATTATTATATTATTTTTTTTAATTTTTTTCTAATTTTTTGAAGATTTTTTTTATATATTTTAAAAATTAGAAAAAGTAAGAGATATATATATATATATATAATATATAATTTTCTTTTATTTTAATATCTTTAATAAAATATATTTAAAGAAAATTAGAAAAAATTAAAAAAGAATTTGAAGCTAAAAGCAGATATTTCTTATTTTATTAATAAATTATTTTTAATTAACTAGATTATATAAATATTAAAGAATTTATTTCTAGATTTAATAAATTAATTAAATTAAATTAAATTAATCTAGAACTTATTTAATAAGTTTATTTATTTACTTAAGCAGATTTTCTTAACAAGCCAGATTAAGTAAATCCTAAGCTGATGAGTAGATAATAACAAGTCTAGTTTAAACTATCTTTCTGTTATTTTAGTTTATTTATATTCTAATATTATTTAAACTACATTTTTATTACTTTAGCTTTTCTATATTTTAATATTATATAATTTTTATCTTAGAATAAATAGTCTGATTAGATATCTGCTATTTTATAAGCTCTGATTAATTTTTATAAATCTAAAGAATTTATATATTATATTATTAAAAATTTAGAAAATTATTATAATTATTATAACTATATTTTTATGTTTATATTAAAAGTTAATTATAATTAATTCTATCTTTAGTAAGATCTTACTATAAGAGATATAATAATAGTCTATTAAATCTAGTAAGTTATAGATATAAACTATTAATTTATTAGAATATTTATTATTAAAGAAATTATAATTAAAAAAAAATAAGTTTTAAAAAAATCTATTTCAATAAAAGCATCTTTGCTGTCATGCTGATTAAATTAGATTTCTTTATTTTTATTCTTTTTTTAAGTATATTTCTAATTTTAATAAATTTAAATATAATCATACTAACTTAATCTAATTTATATTCTAGATTTAAGATAAAATATTTATTAATTATAATTAATATTTTATTTTATAAATCTGTATATTCTATATTATCATCTGTCTGAAATAAATTCTATATAATTAGATATAATTCTATATTAAAAATAGAATTTATATCTTAATAAACTATAGTAAGATCTTGAATCTATTAAAATATATCTTTAAAAATTTTAATTAAATTTATAATATTTGTTTTAAATTATGTTATTTAAAATAAAATAATTAAGAATTTAGTACTTACTTCACGAAATTCTAATATTTAATTTATAAAACTAGAATATATCTGAATACTCTATTTTCTATATTAAAAAATAGTATTAATTATCAACTTAAGATTATACTTCTAAATAATATTTTATCTAAAAAGAATTATTATATTCTAGTATATTTTCTTTAGTCTTTGAATAATAAAAGACTATAATATATAGAGTGGCTATATCTAATTCTAATTATTATATCTTAATCTAATCTTAATCATAATCTGATAATTAGATTAAGATATAAGAATTCTCTTAACTATATAATTAAAAATAGGTTAAGACTTAAGATTAAGAGATTATTTTAACTAATCTTAACTATAGATTAGAAAGATTAGATATAATTAAAAGATTAATAATTATTAATTAATTTTATTTTTTAACTAGTAATTAGCAGTCTAGTAGATTTTATATTAGATTTTTATAAATAGTATTAAAAATCTAAATATAGTAAGATTAGATTATTTAAGAAAATATATAAATTATTATCTAAATTATTTTTTATATTATTCTAATTAATAATTATAATAATAAAAAGAATATATAGCTTAATATATTTATATCTAAAGATATATAATATTATTAAACTAAAAAAACTTAATTTTTTTAATAATATTTTATTTTTATAATTATTATTAAGATTATCTATATTCTTATTCTTATTAATATAGAAAATTATTATTAACTTATTATTTTTTTAATTCTTAGTTATAAATATAATAGAATCTAAAGTAAAATTATTAAAAATATTTTAATATTTCTTAATAATAATAAAATAATCAATATATATCTAAAATATAAATATTTTAATAATCTTAAAATATAGATAACTATAATAATAATAATAATAAATATTTTAAGAATTATTAGAACATTATTTAATATTAATATTATTAATTATAATAATTAAAAGATTTCTAGTTATATAATAGATAATAGAAAACTAATTATAATAAAATAATTAATAATTAAAAATATTAGAATAATCAGTAATTTCTAAATAACTATTCATATAAAAATAATTATAAAAATTATTAATTTAATATTCTAGTCTTCAATAATCTGTATATTTTTAATATTAAAATAAATCTCAAGTTTTTTTAAATATTACTATTTACTACAGAAGATAAAAGCTTCTAGTATTTTAAAATATTATAAAGAATCTTATTTAAATTTAAAAATATATTAAAGATTATAATTAATAATTTAATAATAAAATTTTATTAATAATAAAAATAAAAGATTTTTTTGAGTGTAATTTAATATTTAAAATATTAATTATTATTATTATCGAGCTAGATATTTTTTTAAATTTTTTTAATTTTAATATAAGATCTAGAATAGTTATAATTATATAAATATAATTTTTAATTCAATAAATTTAATAATAATATTTATAAAACTTGTGATATATATTTTTTAGATTTTAAAAAATCTTTGTTTTTAAAAATATTTATTTTTATATTAGCTAATTACTAAACTGATTAAGATAATTAAGAAGATTATTATAGATATCATAAATTTTATAAATTATAAATTTATTATTCTTTAATAAATAAAAAATAAAAAGATTTAAATAGATATTCTAACTATTTTTATTCTTTTAAAATAAAATAAAAATAATTAATATTATTATAATTTTAATATTATATAAAACTCTTTACAGCTAGTTATAGTTTGATTATATATTAAATTATAAGATAAATTCAGTTTTATTAAATTTTATAATTAAAAAAAATATACTAAGACAGACTTTAATTATTAAATCAATTAAAACTTATTTTTAATATTAAAAACTTATATTTATAAATTATAAAATCTTCTAAGTTTATTAGTAAAAATTAAAATAATAAATAAAAAATATTAAATAGATATATAAAAATTATTTATAAAAATTATTTCTAAATTGTTTTTAGAAAATTCTATAAAAGATTTTTATAAATAATTTTTAAAGAATCTTATAAAAGTCTCTTATAGATAATTTTTATTATATATTTCTTTAATTATTTAAAGAATATTAGTAAAAATCTCAAATCTTTTATTATTATTTTTTTATATATATTTAACAGCTTT